GACCCCTAAGGAAACGAGAGTCAAGAACAGCAGACACTTCAAACTCCTCATGACCCTCTACCGAGATAGGAGGGGGAGGAGGAGTATGCCGGGTATAGCGGTTGCGCACGAAAGGTTTCAACAATGAGGTGTGGAAAACATTAGGAATACGTAGATTCTTAGGCAGGCCTAAGGCATAAGAAACAGGATTAACCTTATGTATAATACGATAAGGTCCAATGAAGCGGGGAGCCAATTTCATAGAAGGCACCCGGAGACGAATATTCCGCGTGGAAAGCAAAACCCTGTCCCCACAACATAGGACGGAGCTGCTCTGCGATGCTTGTCAGCCTGAGCCTTCTGGCGAGTAGCAGAGTCCACCAAAGAACGCTGAACCTGCTCCCAAGTATCACGCAAACCAGCCAAATGCTCATCCAGAACTGGCATGCCCTGTGAGGAGAATGCAGCCGGAAGAACAACGGGATGCTGGCCATAGACAACGTAAAAAGGGCTCTTGCCGGAAGAATCATGAGTGGCGCTATTCCGAGCAAATTCAGCCCAAGGAAGCAGGTCAGACCAATTGTCCTGATGGTGAGACACAAAACAACGGAGGTATTGCTCCAGAGACTGGTTGGCACGTTCAGCAGCCCCATTAGACTGGGGATGATAAGCGGAAGAAAATGAGAGAGAAACACCCATTTCTGAACAAAAGGCCCTCCAGAACCTGGAAATAAATTGGCTACCCCTATCGGATACAATAGATACCCATGTAATCCCATGTAATCGAAATACTTCTCTAGCGAAGATATGAGCCAGTTCCTTGGATGTGGGCAACTTGCGAAGAGACACGAAGTGAGCCATTTTGGAGAACCGATCCACTATCATCAGGATCACTGTGTTACCATTTGAAGGGGGTAATTCAACAATAAAATCCATGGACAGGTTAGACCAAGGTCTCTCGGAACGGGTAACGGATGCAACAGCCCACAAGGAACTCTACGGGAGGATTTCATACAGGCACAAGTAGTACAAGCACTTATATAGTCAGTGACATCCTTTCGTAAGGAATCCCACCAAAAATACCGAGAAACAGCTGACACCGTTTTGGAAATACCAGGATGTCCAGCGGTCTTAGTATCATGATATAATGACATAATATCCCGTCTCTCAGGAACATCAACGAACAGTTTATCATTAGGCCTCTCGCTAGGTGCCATGCTTTGTTTCGCTTGTATGGCCTGCAAGAGGGACGAGGAAATAGACAAAATAGTAGTAGCTATTATCCTGTCTGGGGGAATGACAGGAGTAGCATCAATCTCCTGTTTGTCAGTAGTTTCGAACTGTCTGGACAGAGCGTCTGCTTTAGTGTTGCGATCACCTGGCCTATAGGTGATAATAAAATTGAAACGGGACAAAAATAGTGACCACCTAGCCTGCCTGGAAGACAATCTTTTGGCTTCGCTAAGGTAGGATAGGTTCTTGTGATCCGTAAAAATGAGGATAGGATCCTTAGTTCCTTCTAACAAATGTCTCCACTCTTTAAGTGCTAAAATAATAGCAAGGAGTTCGCGATTACCCACATCATAATTTTTCTCTGCTTTGGACATTTGTTTAGAAAAGAAGCCGCATGGATGCAATGGCTTCTCGGGCGACTCTCTTTGGGATAAGACAGCACCTACCCCAATATCCGAAGCATCAACTTCAAGAATATAGGGCAGTGAGGGGACAGGATGCTGTAAAATAGGTGCAGAGGCGAACGTAGTTTTAAGAAATTCAAAAGCCTGAAGTGCCTCGGTAGACCAAACACGAGTATTGCCATCCTTTTTAGTCATACGAGTGATAGGTGCTACAATGGACGAGAAACCTTTGATAAAACGTCTATAATAATTGGAGAACCCAAGAAAACGCTGAATAGCTTTCAGACCTTGCGGTAGAGGCCATTCTATTACAGCAGCTAGCTTCTGGGGATCCATACGAAAACCTTTAGCGGAAATCAAATACCCCAAGAACTGGACTTCGGTTTGGTCAAACAGACATTTTTCTAGCTTGCAATAAAAAACATTAGCAAGAAGGGTCTTCAAAACTGTCGTAACATGTCTGTGATGAGTGTGTATATCTGTAGAATATATTAAAATGTCGTCCAAGTATACGATAACAAATGTGTGAATAAAATCTCTCAAGACATCATTAATAAATTCTTGGAATACTGCTGGGGCATTGCAAAGCCCAAATGGCATAACAGTATATTCGTAATGACCGGATCTAGTGTTGAATGCAGTCTTCCATTCGTGACCTTCCTTTATACGTATCAAATTGTATGCACTCCTAAGGTCTAATTTAGTGAACACAGTGGCATGTTTCAGCCTGTCAAATAATTCTGTAATCAAAGGTATAGGGTATGCATTTTTGATAGTGATTTTGTTTAGACCTCTATAATCTATACACGGTCTTAAATCACCTTCTTTCTTCGATACAAAGAAGAACCCTGCTCCAGCTGGAGAAGAGGATCTCCTAATAAACCCTTTTTCTAGTGATTCCTTGATGTACTCCTCCATGACACGGTTTTCTTGAACCGATAAGGGGTACACCCTGCCCTTTGGAGGTATAGTGCCAGGCAACAAGTCAATAGCGCAATCATAGGGTCTGTGAGGCGGTAATTTCTCAGCCTCCCTTTTATCGAAAACAGTCTTTAGAGATAAATACTGAGGGGGTATAACCGTAGACAAAGGAGGACTGGTAGGTACCTCAATAGAATTCAAAGGTGTGACTTCCAACGTACAAGACTCGTGGCAGGCCTCACTCCATGATTTTATTTGCCCTGTCTCCCAGTCAAAAATGGGATTGTGAGCACGTAACCATGGATACCCTAATACTAACTGTGAAGAGGGAGAGGTGATGACCTGGAATCGAATGGTTTCATAGTGTAAAACCCCTGTGTACATGTGTAATGGTACAGTCTCATGAGTAACAACTGGAGAACT